AATCTGCGCTTGCTTGCTTATGTCAGTCTGCTCCCTTTTCTCCATCATAAACCAGTTCTGAGCGTGAACTGCGAGAACCATCACCAGGTGCAAAGGTTTGGCCCAGCTAGTTAGCAGTCAGCGGACCTCTGTGTTACTGTGGCAGGCGTTGCCATCTGATCACGTGGTATTTCTCCTTGTCCCATGTGCTCTAACACTGCCCTGTCCCTCCTGCTATGGGAGGCAGCATCTCATTCTCCTGCCCTTCCCTCTCGGCAGCCTGTGACTCACCTTTAGGCAGCAGAATTCTCTGGAAGTGTGTTGCCTCGACTCCAAGTCCCTGCAGCTTCTGACTGCTTCTAAGGGAGTGCCTGGTCTGAGGAAAGTCAGCCAGTGTGTGGGAAGCTTGACTTCCCTTGAGGACACTGGTTAATCAATCTGGCTCACAGTTCCCACCCAGCTCAGCCCTCCAGCCATCCCTGTTCTGGAATGGATCATCTCAAACAGTCTTTGCTGGCTTCATTTCTGCTTAAAGCCTATAGAAAGAGGGGCTGGGGATGCGGCTCGATTTATAAGAGGATTTAGTGTGCACAGAACCCTGAGTTCCATCTCCAGCACCACATAAACCAGGAATGTGGGTGCACATTTGTCATCCTGCCACTTGAGAGGTAGAATCGGGAAGACTAGAAATTCAAAGTCATCCTTAGCTCCATTGTAAGTTTGAGGCCAGTCTTACATGAGACCCAGTCACAAAAACAAACAAACAAAAACCAAACTGCAGAAGGAGAATGATCGTTGGTTCAGGTAGGGCATACTAACCAGCACTCTTCCTGTCTGGGTTGCACAGCACAGGAGGGTATGTGGCCCATTGCCGTGGACTGATGGATAAGGCGGGTATGGGAGGGTATGTGGCCCATTGCCGTGGACTGATGGATAAGGCGGGTATGGGAGGGTATGTGGCCCATTGCCGTGGACTGATGGATAAGGCGGGTATGGGAGGGTATGTGGCCCATTGCCGTGGACTGATGGATAAGGCGGGTATGGGAGGGTGTGTGGCCCATTGCCGTGGACTGATGGATAAGGCGGGTATGGGAGGGTGTGTGGCCCATTGCCGTGCACTGATGGATAAGGCGGGTATGGGAGGGTATGTGGCCCATTGCCGTGGACTGATGGATAAGGCGGGTATGGGAGGGTGTGTGGCCCATTGCCGTGGACTGATGGATAAGGCAGGTATGGGAGGGTGTGTGGCCCATTGCCGTGCACTGATGGATAAGGCGGGTATGGGAGGGTGTGTGGCCCATTGCCGTGGACTGATGGATAAGGCGGGTATGGGAGGGTGTGTGGCCCATTGCCGTGCACTGATGGATAAGGCGGGTATGGGAGGGTGTGTGGCCCATTGCTGTGCACTGATGCCTAAGGGAGGTTAGGCCTAGCTATGCTCATGGCAGTCACTGGCTGAGTGAGTTCTTGAAAATGCAGATCTAATTGTCTCACTCCATCATGTTCAGAGCAGCAAGGCTCCCCGTGGCTTCAGAAGAGTGTTTGCACAGCTCAGCTCGACACAGAAGGCTCCTTGGTGGTGAGCCTCGCCCACTTTCCTACCCAGCTTCTCAGCTAGAAGCCAGCATGCACCCTTACCTCTGGACATTTATCATAATCAGATCTGTGTCCAAGGCTTAAGCTCAGCCTGTGCTGGTGACTCCCTAAGCGTGTCCCCACCTGGACAGTCTGAGCTCCTGCCTCTAACTGCCTTCTCAGAAAGGGGCTCGGTTGGTGGAGTGTGTCAGAAACTGACATTTTGATACCCCCCACCCCCTGTCACAGATTCAGTCTACCCTCCTCCCCACAGTGCTGGGGTCACGTACTCAGTCCACCCCTCCTCCCCACACTGCTGGGGTCACAGACTCTGTCCACCCCTCCTCCCCATAGTGCTGGGGTCACGGACTCTGTCTTCCCCACAGTGCTGGGGTCACGGACTCAGTCCACCCCTCTTCCCCATAGTGCTGGGGTCACGGACTCAGTTCACCCCTCTCCCCACAGTGCTGGGGTCACGGACTCAGTCTTCCCCACCTGGCATTGATGTAGGCGCACAGGATCCGAACTCAGGTCCTCATGCTTGCACTGTGGGAAAACCCACTGTGCCCCCTCCCTGGCCCCCATGGGCCCCACTTTTGGGATCCTTTTGATTTGTTCAGAGTCAGCTTGCCCTCCCCTCTGATGTGTGATTTGAATGTTTCTCTTCTCCACGTCTTGAAGACAGGACTTTTGTTTATGTGTCACATTTTAGCTTCTTGGCATAAGGTGGACCAGCAGTAAGTAAATACTTCCCAACTGTGGCCTGAAGCTTAATAGGTGCATCAGCACATATAGTCACAGAAAGCCTGCTGTGAGAGAGGGAGAGCTGGGCTACTCTTTCCTGTGCGTCCCCAGCAGGTGCTGGGGTATGTTCCCAGCAAAGTCCAGGAATAGGTCTGTGGTAGACTCATTCAGAATTTCCTTCTAGCAAGTTCTCAGATAATGTGGATTCTGACCACACACATACTGACACACAGACACACACACAGACACACACACAGACACACACACAGACACACACACACACACACACACACACACACACACACACACACACACTGGTCCCATAGGAATCTCAGCTCAGTTTTGAGCCCTCAGTTGGGGATTGTTAGAAGGGTGGTGGGCCATTTGCTTTATTGAAGGTGATTTGTTTTCTCTAACTCAGAAAGCTGTGTGGGGGTTTAGGAGGGAGAGAAAAGGAATGAGATTCTTCTGGAGCCCTGGCTCTTCAGGGCCCCTTTCACTCAGTAGGCCTGCCTGTGTAGAAGAAGGCGGGTGTGTGGAGGGAGTAATTCTCCTCTACCTCCCAGATCTAGAAGTAGCTCACTTAGTGCTGCTGGAGAAGTTGTCTCCTCTTCTCTATTTGCTTCTGACCCAAACCCTTGCGGTGTTCTAGAGAGTGATGGTGGAGTGATGTTCTGGAGAGTCTTGATTGGTGATGTTCATATGGCGTGGTGGTCATGTGACGGGATGCCCAGTGTCTTTGTTGAATGGGCTGGCCACTGGGTGGTGATTGTTGAATCAGGTTCTATTTCTTATGGCATGTGCATTTCATTGTGTGTGTGTGTGTGTGTGTGTGTGTGTGTGTGTGTGTGTGTGTGTTTTAGATGTCCCTGTGTACATGTACATGCGTATGTGATTATGTGTGAGGGGGGTCAGATGTTTACGTCAGACATCTTCCTCAACTTCTTTCTACTTGGTTTTGTTTTTGTTTTAATGTTTACATTCTTAAAAAGTCTATGTGCTTATGTGTGTGTGTTGTATATATATGCCACATGTGTACATGTGCCCACAGAGGCCAGGAGAGGGTATTGGATTCCCTGTGCTGGAGCTGCAGTTGGCTCTGAACAGCTCCATGTAGGTTCTTGGAGCCGAATTCAGGTCCTCTGGAAGAGCAGTGAGTGTTCCTCACGGTGGAGCCAGCTCTCCAGCTCCTGTACATGTTGGTTTTGAACTATGACCTCTCGCTGACTATAGAACCCACTGACTCAGCTAGTTGGTTGGCTAGTGCTCTGTCTTTTCTTTTGGGGGTGCTGGAGATTCAAACTCAGATCCTCATGCTTGTGCAGCAGACATTTTACCCACTGAACCTTCTACCCCGCCCCTCAGGCTCTATTTCTAGGTAGAACTCAATGCTTTGCATGACCTTGAGCCAAGTCTCTAACCTTGGTCTCTTTGCCTTGTCTCCTTGTGTTAATGAAACACACATCACCCTCCCCATTCATAATCTGCAGAAAAACAAACACTTGGGTGTGAGGAGCCCTCCAGGGGATTTGGGAGCTGATGTGCAGAACTCTGAGTGCCTGAGGAGAAAGCTGCTGTGTAAACACAATATATTATTAATACAATGTTAAAAAATAGCATTGCAACCTGAGCTATTCATAGCTGCTTTGGGCTGCAGAAGCAGCAGGGCTCTGACACACAGGCCCTAACACAGTTTTGGGAAGCAGGGGCTATGGTTTTTCAAGTCTGCAACACACTGAAGAGGAAAGTGAGATTTTAGTCAAAATTTGAGCACATTCTTGTGCATACTGGTATTGTATACAGAAGGTAGGCTGCGGTTTGAAAGTCCAACTTTAACAGAATGAGTGGAAAACTTTGATTTTTTTCATTACACCTTAGAGCTACTTTACAATGTGACCAGTTTAGGGGTTCAGGGAAGAAGGTTAGGAGTCCTAACCCCCTTTCCTGGATCCATTAGAAAGCAGACAATGCTAGTTGGACTCCATGGTGATAAACTCTTAGGTAGGTAAACTAGTAATAGTTATTGGTTTAGTTATTTAACTAGTTAGTTGGTCATACCTACTCAAGAGATGCATATAGGGCATCTGCTACATGCTACTGTAGACACTGGGAAATGGAAGGCATAAATTATTACCTAATAATTTTCTCTGTTGTCCCCTGTTCCCTGTGTGTGTGTGTGTGTGTGTGTGTGTAGACCAGACCACAACCTCTTCTGTCACTTTTTGAGATAGTGTCTTTCACTGAACCTATCGCTCACGGGTTGTTTATATTAACTTCTCATCAAGCCCCTGAAATCCATTCCAGATAAGGAATTGACAAGGTGCTAGAGAAATGATTCCGTCTAGGTAGATTAGTGAACAATGAGTTTCATTGGGGTTGCTAACAGGAGCACAGGTTGACTAAAGACAGCTGTATCACTGAAAATCTCAGCCAAGTCTGGGTGACAAGTCACAAAGTCTGCATCCCAGAAACAGTTCCACCAAAGAAAATTACCTTTTCTAAGCAACTGTTACTGTTTATGTAACATTTGAAAAGGGACTTGTGAGTCTTGTAAATTTCAGGAGTTTCCTGAGACCTGTGAGTTTTGTTGAGTTCCTAAGACTTGTAAGTGTCCTTTGCTTTCTGAGGATTAATGAGCTTCCCTTCTTGGGGAAATATATTAATAAATAACTACACAACCATTCATGTTCTTTTTCTTACAGAGCCTGTGTCATCTTGGGGGTGATCTTTCTTCTGTCATCTATATGCATAGTGGTCAAAGCCATCCATGACCTTTCAACAAGGCTGCTCCCTGAAGTGGTAAGGTCCTTCTTTCTTAACATTCTTGCCTCAATTCTCACACAGGTTTGCTGCAGTGGGTGGGGAAGGTGAAGCCATTTTAGGGGCCAGAAGAACTCACTGCGGGGACACAAATGACACAGCATAGTGATGTTCTAGGTCAGATGAGATTCCACATAGTCGAGCTGGTGCTGCCTTCTGTGTCCTGCTGGCCCGTTTGCCTACTGTTAAAGCAGGATGTCTTTCTTTTCATAAAAAATAATTGTATTTGTGCAGCTGTGATCCATCTGTTGTCTGAATTCATCTAATGATTGCTGTAATAAGAAGCATTTTTTCTTTTGCATTTCAGTGCAGTATGTAAATCTATTTTCATAGGTTTCCTAGCATGACTGATGTCTAGATATATAAACTAGAAGATGCAATTTCTGACAGAAATGTTTCTCACTGTTTTGTCCTCTGGTGATTACTTTAACTCTTCCCCTATCCTCTCTGGATAATTTTGTAGCTTCCTATTGGGCAGCCTTCATAGACAGCAACTAATTTGGTTATTAGGTAATGAAGATACTGCCTTTATAAATTTTCACATAACAATGTAAACAAGAAACATTAACTTGTAGGACGTTTTTTAATTTCAGCTTGACCACAACACACCGTTTTATATAGGTTAGAATGGTTAGGGAGACTGTTTATTAATCTTATGGATGCCCTATTGCATCTGTGCTTATGTAATACTTGTATAACTTTGGGAATGCAACCTTTTGAATCTTGTAAATTTCAGGAGCTTCCTAAGACTTGTGAGTTTTGTTGACTTCCTGCACCTTGCAAGTTTCTTTTACTTCCTGAGTCTTAAAGAGAGTTGCTCCAGAATGCAATATTTCAATTTAGAGGAAATATCTATATAACTGTTGAAGGTATATTTCTTACAGATCCTGTATCATCTTGAGGGTAATCCTCCTCCTCCTCCTTCTCCTCCACTTTCTCCTCCTTCTCTCTCTCTCTCTCTCTCTCTGTCTCTCTGTCTCTGTCTCTGTCTCTCTCTCTCTCTCTCTCTCTCTCTCTCGGAGTATGTGTGTGAGAGAGAGACAGATACAGAGACAGAGAGAGACAAACAGAGACAGACAGACAGACAGACACACACACAGAGAGAGAGAGAGAGAGACAGACAGGCAGGCAGGCAGGCAGGCAGGCAGGCAGGCAGGCAGGCAGGCAGGCAGGCAGGCAGACAGACACAGTTAATGAAAACTTAAAGGGATAGTCTACTACAATTAGTAGAGGCATCTGCGTGGCTGCTTATGTTGTTTCTTCCCTCTCTTTAAGCCATCTCTTTCACAGTCCATCAGCACTTTAACTGTTGTTTAATGACCAAGTTTGTCCGAAACTGATCTCTTGGGAAATAACAGAAAGGAAAGGTGGAAAGCAGGATGGGAAGGTACCTACTTAGGGCATTCAGTCATTTTCAAGAAAATGACTACTTCCATGCTTGGGCCTCTCCTCTCCTAAGGACTGAGTTATCTCCTGTGATCTCCTCTTCCCACACCAGTCTTTGTCACATGACCCATTCTGCTAGAATCTGCTTAGCATAGAAGGCACCAAGTGTGATTATGTACGTTACACTTCAGATAGGTACCACCCTGCATTTTTCAGAGGATATGAAGACAACTGAGCTTGAAGAAATATTACTAGTTAGGACTTTTCAGCACTGTGCCAGATGACACATTCATTTATTAAGATATTAAAGATTAATTTCCAGCAGGTATAATGGCAGGGATAGATGACTTCGCCCACAGATCCCTGTAGAAGTGCTCTTTTTTTTTTGTCTCTCGATAGCAGAAGCACTTTTAGCTGTGGGCAGTCACTCATCACCCCATGGTGCAGATGCTGTTAGGTGAGGTGAAGAAGTTCAAGGATTTCAATACTGACTCACTCTGTCGGTGTCTAATGATCTGGCCCACATCAGGTTTAAAGTGTGAAGGGCCACATGGTTATACCCAAGATGGTTATACCACATGGTTATACCCAAGATGGGCCCTGTCCTTGGACAACCCAAGGCTGCTGCCATCTTTTGTCAGTTATGGGATGAGACTGAAAAATTATAAATTATACTACTTTATGGATATCCTGCATATGGGTGGTCTTATTTTTAAGCTTTTTAGCATCATGAAGAGGTAGCAAGGAGTGTCTGGGCTGCAAAGCAAAGGCGGCTGTTTGCCTGAGCAGCACACAGGGCCACTTAACACTGCCGGGACATAGTAAATTATTTACTTTTAATGTATGTGGGTGGGCGGGGCATCTGTGAGGATGTGCATGTGTGTGGTGGTCTGAGGAAACCTTGAGTGTTATCCTCAGGAATGCTGTCCCTGTTCTTTGAGGCAAGGTCTCTTACTGTCCTACAGCTCACCAATTTGGTTAAAATGGTGACCACTGAGCCCCAGGGACCCACCCATCTCTGTTTGCCCAGGACTGCAATTACAAGTGTATGACACCAGGCCCAGCTTTTCATTGGGTTCTGGGGACGGAACTCAGGTCCCCATGCTTGCCAGGAAAGCACTTTCCCAAATGAGCCATTTCTTTCGTAAATTAGTAGCAAATTTTCTCATGTTGTTTACACACACACACACACACACACACACACACACCACACAGTTTTGGTTGCTATCCCAATATGAGCTCCCTCCCCTGTCTTCCTGCATTCACAACGCATTTGTACCCTTTAATCCCTTCCATTTTCGTACCCTGAGTGTCCTCTTATTCTCCTCAACCTTCTCCCTTAGGGCATCCTTCCACTGGCCTCTCGTGCTTCCTTTTCTAGTTTTCTGAGAGCTGCACGCACTCACTCCCACATAATACACAAAAAGTAGAAGCCAGGATCCGCCTATGAGAGAGAACAGGAAGTGTTTGTCCTCCTCCGTCTAGGTTACCTCACTTAATTTTTTTTTTCAGTTCCATCCGTCTTCCTGCACATTTCATTTTTTAATGGCTAAATAAAATTCCATCGTGTGCATGGACCACATTTTCATTAGCTAGTCATCTGTTGATGGGCATCTAGGCTGGTTCCATTTCCTGGCTGTTGTGAAAAGAGCAGCAGTGAACACGGGTGAGCCAGGGTCTCTGAGCAGGATGTAGAGTGCTTTGGGCCTCAGATTCTTCAGTCAAGTGTACTGGTTCCTTTGCTCTGTACCAGGGATGTTTCTCTAAGTCAGCCAACAGTAGTCAGGCTCCCAGTTCCTGCCCTGCTGTGACTCAGGATGAGTGTTGATACGAAATGCTTCGTGTAAATTAGATTTGTCAACTCAAATGCCCAGAGAAATCAGGCTGGGCACAAAAGGGAGAAGTTGGCTAGGTTTATGGTACCCAGAGAGCAAGCGCCTGGTTAAAAGTTCCAGCCTCCTTCAAAGTTGCTGTGCTGGAGAAGAGAGTAGAAACATCGCTGACACAAAACTAGCAGGACTGGGCAGACAGTTTGGTGGGCAAAGGGCTTGCGGAGCGAGTGCAAGGACCTGAGTTCAGTCCTCAGGATCACTGAAAAGCCAGATGCAACTGTAAGGCCTGCTTGTCACCTCAGCATTGAGGACAGAAGACAGGAGCACCCCTGGGGTTCTCTGGCTAGCTGCACTGGTGAGTTCTGGGTTCAGTGAGAGACCCTGACTAGACAAGATAGGGTGAAGAGTGAAAAAGAAGACACCTGATGTCAATCTCTGACACATCACCGTATGTGCGGAGTACCTGCACACAGACACATGTGTATTACACACACCAACAAAAGACACATGTGTATAACACACACGGGCACACAGACACATGTGTGTAACACACACCTGTATACACACACCTACATACAAATATGTATAGCACACACCTGCACACAGACACATATGTATTACACACCAGCAACAGACACATGTGTGTAACACACACCAGCACACAGACACATGTGTATTACACACCAGTACACAGACACATATGTGTAACACACACCTGCACACAGACACATGTGTGTAACACACACCAGCACACAGACACAAATGTATAATACACACCTGCACACCACACACACACACACACACACACACACACACACAGAGGAATTAATGAAACTGAAAGCCTGGTTTGAGTGAGTGGATACTCTCATATAGGACAAGAGAAGTCTGAGCTGCATTCGGGAAGTTTGCTACTTCTTGTAGGGTCTGGACCAAGCCAGGGACAGAGCTCTTCAGGGCTTCAAGGTAATGGGTGTCTCTCCGGATCACACTTAACCCCTCACCTCAAATCCAAGCTGCATTCTCATGGCTCATTTCTGCACGTGCAGGAGCAAGGCTGTGTGTGGTTCCGTGGGTAACGCTTGCCTAGTAAGTATGAAAGCTGGGATTTGAGCCCCAACACCGTACAAACAGGTGCACACCTGTCACATAACCCCAGCACTGGAGAGGTAGAGGTCAGAGGATCAGGAGTTCAAGGTCATCCTTGGCTACATAGTGAGTTTAAGCCCATACTGGGATACTAAGATACACAAGATCTTTTGCCTTGAAAAAAAAAGCAAGAAGCAAAATCAGTTGCTTTGCTTCAATTCAGCTGTGCAATTCTGAGTGAAACATAGTACAAGAATGTGTCTGTGTGTGTGTCAGTGTGTGTGTGTGTGTGTGAGTGTGTACATATGTGAGAGTGTATATGCCTGTGAGACCAGAGTAGGGCATTGTGAGTCCTCTGTTGCTCTCCACATTATCCCTTGAGACTGTGTCTCTCACTGAACCTGGAACTCGCTGTTTTTCATCTAGGCTGGTGGCTAGCAAGCCCAGGGATCTTTTTGTCTCCACTTCCTCTTCCATAAAGTGCTCTGGTTCTAGGTTATAACAGGCTTTATATGTAGATTCTGTGATCTGAACTCAGGTCCTCATATCCACTGAGCCATCTCCCCAGCCCCCGACACGTCAGTTTCAACTAGAAATCTGTGTAGCCAGGAGTGACCCAGCTGTGAAGTCAGCTGGCTCTGAATCTCGAGGGTGTCACCAGTCCCTTGGGGTTTG